GCAGGGCTGCTCTCGATCCTTTCTTCCCCCAGCCTGTACTGATACTGGGGGTTACCCCGACCCAGGTGCAGGACCTTGCACTTGGCCTTTTTGAACCTCATGAGGTTCACACAGGCCCACCTCTCCAGCCTGTCCAGGTCTCTCTGGATGACATCCCGTCCTTCTGGTGTGTCAACCGCACCACTCAGCTTGGTGTCATCCGCAAACTTGCTGAGGGTGCACTCCATCTCGCTGTCTAAGTCATTGATGAAAACATTAAACAGCACCGGTCCCAGCATGGACCCCTGAGGGACACCACTCGTCACCGGTCTCCATCCGGACATCGAGCCATTGACCACTACCCTCTGGACGCGACCATCCAGCCAGTTCCTTATCCACCAAACAGTCCACCCATCAAATCCATAGCTCTCCAATTTAGAGAGAAGGATGTTGTGGGGGACCGTGTCAAAGGCTTTGCAGAAGTCCAGATAGATGACGTCTGTTGGTTTTCCCTTGTCCACTGATGCTGTCACACCATTATAGAAAGCCACTAGGTTCGTCAGGCAGGACTTGCCCTTGGTGAAGCCATGCTGGCTATCTCGAATTACCTCATGGCTAAGCCTGAGCTGATGAGCTGTTAAGAAGAGGACAATGAAAAGAAGCAATATAAAGAGAGATGCTTGGCTTTGAGATTAGCTCAAAGGGTCTTTTGGAAAGCCTACAACAGCCTGAACAGAGTTAATTTGTGAGGAAATGTCACTACTGAAAAGATGATATGCCTCACCGCTATGACAGAAGCAATTCTTGCCATCACAGTTTCACAAGCCTTGATTTAAACTGATCAAACCAGACACCTGCCTATGCAAAGTAATATGACTTATATCAGCATCAAGAGAGAGAGACAAGCTTTGAAGTGAGAAAATATTAATCTGGGACTGTGATGTGTGAGTTCTTATACCTAAGCACTTGCATACTGTACAACCTTCATTTCACTTAAACCAGAGTGCTAAAATACACTCAAACTGAACAGCAGAAAAGACATTTCTCTGAATCAAATTACTTTTTTTTTTTTCTTATTTCCTTCCTCCCCAATAAACTGTTTTCATGTCCCTGCAAGTGTTCTGCAAAGTAACTACTCTCAGCTAGACAGGAGGGTGGCTGGAGAAGCATGCAAGAGGAAGAAGAGGAAGGATGTCACTGTTAAGCAAATAATTTTCCAATAATCTTCCCAACAGTGTGAGTTTTCCACCTGGGAGATCAAACATGAGGGTCAAAATTTTCTGGTCTAGGTCTTTACACTAAACAAACAACTGGTTTTCAAAGAGTTTGTGCAGTTCCACTCCCAACTAGAGCCGGAGGGATCTGCAGGTGCTTGCTTTTGAAAGCCAGGGTATTTTACTTTAGACTAAAACCCATGTAGGCACCTATTGTTTTCATGGTTACAAACTGTAAGCCTTCTAAGACTCCCCATCTGTTAGCTGCTCTTCCCTTCAGCTTTTGGAGAGTAGGGTGAAAGGTAGCAAAGTCTATTATAACAGGCTAGCATAATAAATACTGTTATAATGAAGCATGCAAAAAAAATCCTCCCAAAAAATCAAGCTCATCAACAAATTTTAGCATAATCTGCTTGTGTTAGATCTCTAACTATAATCTGTCTTGCAAGAACTCATGAACGTTTACCAACTTCAGCACACAATCTGCTCTCACAGCCTGAAAAATACCATAAACCCTGTAAAAAGCATATTACTTGCCACTCTTGAGTGATAGGCCATAGTTTTGTAAGATTGATTTAGTTAAACATTTACTTGATTTCCAATCCAAGAGCTGTGATTGGCCTCAGGCTCGTCTTACCCAGCTGAGAAATAGATCTCTTTTCTACTTATTACAGAGAATTTAATACTGTGACATTTATGAGCTCCTCCAGTAGTAGCTCATAAGATCAGGCTATCCAAGTATTTCACCATAAATAACATTCAGAGGAAGTTTTAACCCATTACACTGAGAGATCACATTTAAACTGCCTGGCTTTGGTTGCTTGTTGGTGCTATGTTTGGGGTTTGTTTTGTTTTGGTTTTTTTTTATAAAGAATTTTATTTATCTCCATAAGTAGGCTTTTTGCCTTGAACATCACATCGGAGACACATTCACTTTACTACTGCAAGACATGGTCTCTTGGTTACTAACAGCAAAATTCACTGGAGTCCACACTCTGTATCAGGAATTAGACATTATACAGGCATCTTAGCCTCTGAGTATTTGATGGACTCAGACCCCCTGCAAATGCAAACCAGCACTCCAGATCCAGAGGCAATGCAGAGGAAAGCATGACTCTGCCCCAAGTCAGCTCAGATCCAGCAGTCTTATTAATTTGGACTCTACACCACAGAAATTGGGCTCTCCTAGTCTTGAGCTGATCCTGGAAGGAGAACAGCCACATTCACAGAGCCTAGGCCAGTGGATTAGGTCCTGCCAGCACCAAGCTGGCTCCACGTGAAGCCATTTGCACATGCCGGATGGCTTACTTGTGAACCAGGACAAAGCCACCCACAGGTAACTAAGGGCTGACTAACTTGGACAGAGTAGAACTTGCTCACATTAACTCACTCATGACTAAAACATCACATTCAATTCCACAGTAATTATAGCAAATGGACCAAACAATTTGTTAGTGTGAACTCACCTTGGACTTGACCTGGAGACAAGTGACTGTTTTTCCTGGCATTTATTGCCAGCACATCCTCCTCACTAAACTGCTCACTCAACAAGTGTCCAGCTGCTGTATCTGTGTTGGCAGGACACCTGCCTCGTTTCTTATGTTTCTTCCTCCACATGTCCTCCTCGTCCCTTTCATCAGAACCAGAAGACTTCTGTAGAGCTGCACGGTGCCTCAGGCTGTTCGATACTCTCCCACTCGGTGCATCACTCATATTTAACAAGTCAGCTGCAGCTCCACGCTGATGTACATAATAGTCTTCCTCCACCTCCAAGTCTCCTTCTGGGCTAACAATGGTATTTTTTTTATGAGGACATCTGTTCAGAGCAGCTTGGGGTTTATCATTCTCAAATCCTCCAGGCATGGACTGTTCCAGGTGAGATGTTCTGACCGGTGAGTAGCTGTGCGTATTCAACCCATTCCTGGCCGGATTATCCTTCACCAGGCCTCTCCTCAGGGGCGGGTCCAGATCTGAGCTGAGGTCATTGGAAGTGCTCTCGTCTAGCTGCATCTTCTCTGCAATGTGACTCAAATAGGACCTGAATCTGCCACTGTGGTGCTTTTGCACAAGCCTCGCGTAAGCGTTCTTCTGGGGAGCAGTGGGCTTGCTCAATCCCTCTTTGGCACCTTGGCCAGAAGTAGTATTTCTCATATACCCCAGATGATCCATAGCGCAGTAAAAGGCCCAAACTTCAGAGTTATAAATAGACACAGGGGAAAAAAGGGTTATTTTCCTGAAACAAAGCGTCAAATAATTGATAATGCTAAAAGACACAAAAATGTACTAAATGACAATGTATTGACCTTTACAGAAATTCTGCGACAGCAAATCAGTCCACTCAGGGGAAGAAGTTTCACAATGTACTCAACATCTGCCCTGCACCAAATCCCCGTCAGCAACCTAGGAGTGACCACAGCCCTTAAGCCTTACCTGCCCATACCCCACACAAAACAGGGAGTTTTGTCCCAAGGCTGACACTCCAAATATAAGGGATTCCCTTAATCCTCTCTTCCTTGCCTTTGAAAAGGCCAGGTAAATTAAGGCAGTAACTGACAGACTGCATCAGATGCATCAGTTTAGCAGTTATCAGAAGTAAAATCTTGTCATGTCCAACCTGGAGCCTTCAAAAATAACTGCATCCTTACTGAAGTGCTTCAGTGTTGCAGTAAAAAGCGTACATTGCCCGTTACCTCCCCCCAGTGACTGACACTTCTGGATTATATAGGACATTTCCTTCCAATACGAAGACTAAGCATTTCAGCTTGTCTTTCTAGCCATAAACTCACTCCCAGCACAGCTGACATAAAATAAGTTCCCTCGCACAACAAACTGTCTTGCAAGAGCTCATAAGTCTTAGCGGTTGAGACATGGCTGCCACTCCATCCAGCGCCTGTTTCTGTAGATGGTACTATGCCTCCACCTTTGTCGCACGAGTGTGGAACTTAAGTAGATCAAGCATCTTTCAATCCTGTTTCAGCTGCTCTAGCTTTTAAGATTTTGGAGCGAAACGATCTAGTAAACTGTCCTCAGCTACTATTAAGGTAAATTATAGATATGGACAGGACATAGCAATGATTTTTGCTGTATCTAACATCAAAGAGGAAAATAAAAATATATTGATAATGGAGCCCAGCACAACTGCTGTCTTCTGCGGGTTTTCATAAAAATGCCTGTTTTTCCCTTCAAGCCATGTTTGAAGTTCAACAGCCAAACTTCACCCCAGCCGGTATGCTGAGAAGTCAGGGCTCACTCATCTCTTCTATGCCAGAACTGAGGGGCACTGGACTCTAAGCTAAAATAAAGACATCATCCATCAAACCTTTCTCTCTCTTCACTTCTCTAAGCAGGGGGGTGTTGGCAGGGCAGAATACAGGGCTCAGCAGAAGAGAAATTTATATTCCCTTCCCTACTCCCACCATGCTTGGAATTTTTTCTTTACCCTTACCCAGCCCTGTTCTCCCTTTTGCTGCAGTTGCACAGAGGATAAGCACACAGGCAGGCTCCTCGGTGCCCACGCTGCCAAGGGCATGGGGCTTTGTCCAGCAGGGACCAAAGACCACAGCACCAACGACTCCTCAGGAGGTCTCTGCTCTGGCCCTTTCAGAGCAACAACGCACATTGCAGTGAGATTTACTTAAGTAATTGAGCACGGATGTGAATAGGTTTCACAATACAAAGCAAAAATTAAAAATCCCTGAATAAATCGGAAAAATTCTTTGTGTGGTTTGTGATTCTTGTTCCTAAGATTTTCCATTGGTGCTGGCCAATAGCTAAATTTTTCTAATAGATTGACCTGCTACAGCACTATTACAAAACCCTCACACGGGTAGGTCTACAGCAAGCTTTCTTTTAACGTCACCTTCTCCCGTTGCCAGTTTAATAGAAGTAGATAACATTTATACAAGCCAGCGAGACTACTCTCCAAACACTGGTTCCGGGATACAGGAGTTTGCCATCTTTGTTTACAAGTAAAGAATAAACATTTGCACCTCGCCTCCACTAGAATTTCTGCAACTTTAATTACATTCACAATTGGAGCACTGACAAAAATAGGCTTACAAGCCCCCACGCGTTACAGTGCCGTTATCAGCTTTCCGTGGGCAGCCAGGAATTGACCGCTCCCTGCCAGCCGGGGCGCAGAGGGAAGGGGGCGGTGGGTACGAGGTTCCCATAGCCGGGACGAGGGAAACACCGGGAAGGAAGCGCCGAGGGAAGAAGCTCATTTAGCTGGACCGGGGGGGAACCGCCCTGGCACTTCCACCCGA